TAGAGCAGTACCGATTCGGACTGGCGAATGTAAAGACGGACAAGAACAATCCGATGGAGACCCGACTGAAGCTTCTAGAACGCCATTTATTTCGGAAGAAGTTTGGGTATGCCGCCTTGGATACGACACAACCATGAAGCACGCAGTGGAAAGTGCCGTTAGAAATTAAGAAGAAAGAAACAAAAAAGAAAAACGTATAGTTAAAAACTCAAAATAGAACATTCATGCATCAATGGCACCACGAAAACTGAGCTGAAAACTCATAGTATCGTTATTTATAAAATTTTATATAAATTAGATAAAATTTTATTTGGTCCCTGGAGGAATGTGGTATTGCAGCATCTGCAGTACATAACCTTGAGGACAGTTTGCTAGCTACTGCACCTGCAGTAACCATATGTGCTAACTATATCCATTACGCTATTATTATATAAGAGTGGTCAAGGCCATTTGATGTTGTTAAAACATTAAGGTTGAATTGGTCAGTGTTTTCATATCTCATGCTGAAAAACAGTAACCAATCTCAGCTACTAACTTCAATAAAAGATAAGACCAAGAACAGTAAATTTATAGTATCTCTCTTACTTTTATTCCTCAACACGCTACGCAGGTTAGGGATATCACAGAGATATAACTATTTGTTTGACATCAAAGTGGGATATGATTATTGAACTGAACATGTTTTTTGAGTTAGTCAGCTTTTATTGATTCTGATCAGTTGCAAAAACTATTAGTTTATAAATAGTTTTATTTAAAAACTACACAATAAGAGCAATAAAGCGATCAGTCGTGCTTTCTTTAAGTTTTTCTGTATATTTGCCTATAACACGATTCTTTACTATTTTCGCCAACCGATCTTGATTCTGGATTTGAGCTGTTCGACTTTTGACTTCTCTAGGGTTGAGTGAGACCTTGAAGTTCGTAAAAAATTTGTGGTTTTTTGAAAAAGGCAACAGGTTAAAAGGTTAAAACGTGGGCATAAAATTTGGCTAAGCGAAGCTTCCAAATTCTGAGATCGGATCTGACACTTTTTCTTCCGTTGTTGAACCTGTTTCTATTAAGTCTCAATTGATTTTGAGTCCTGTTTTCCGAAACCTAGAATTAATGCTAGATGATATTCCACCATTTCGACGAGATTGGCGTTGCAATTGTGCAATATAGCTTAATGAGCATCTTGATGAAGTCCACTTAAGCTGTACATACATTGAATCTCGCAGCATCCTTGAAAAAATGTTGAATTTTTTCTGAAGTAGAAGGCTAAGCTGGCTAAGCAACGAAACTGGGCTCCACATATCGACTGTTGCGTTGAAGAAACTCTGATTAGTCAAACTCTGCGTTAAAGAAACTCGTCATTCTCATCTCGCACCAGATTCAGTCTCCGTTTGGAGGACGAGTTGCAACACTTCATAAATTTTCCACGTCTCTGGCAGAGGTTACAGGAACTATCTCTACTCGCACACGTCTGTCGGTGTTCCAAAGAGCACGTATTCCATCAGAAATAACACGCATTGCTACTGCTGCCGTGCCCTTGTTTTGAGGAACGATTGTTCTGCCTCTTCTGCTACTATATTGTTCTTTCTTGGCTGAATGGAAAAAGTCGGTTCCTGCTTGATTTTTGTATTCTCAGAGTTCTGATGGCGAGGTAGTAACTTCTGGAGTTGAACTGAAGTAGATGCACACTTTGCACCCTCTAATGCCAATTTGAGTGTACTGTCGATTTCTTATTTTAGTTTAATCAGTTCTTGCTAAAACTCTGGGTCACGATTACGGGCAATCAAGCGAGCGTAAAAAGCATCTGCTTCCAGCATGCATTTTGCGTTTTACAGCTCAGTCCGTTTAACTGTATAATCACGTTCGGTTTGAACAAAGCTTCACAACTGGCTTTGAAAACCTTGAATAAACACGCAGTAGGGACGAGTTGTGGGTTAGATTCCGAGAATCGCTGTTTACATTCATTTCATACAGAGAGAAATAAGCGAGACTTTAATCGAGCTTCTGCCTTGTGATGAAATCAATTCTGACTAATTCGAAGAATTTTGCTTTCCTTCCGCGCATTCAATTCATCTATACTTCGATCAGCTGCATGATCGCGGCGAACACGAGCGTTTTCAGCTACTGCAACCGCTGGGGCTTCTGTCGACAATTACAGTAGGTTCTCCTAGTAAGTCGTTTGGGATGACATTGCCTTTTAACCCCATAGCCATGAAGAATTGTCCGTTCTAAGTTTACCATAAGAATTCAAATTTAGTTTATTGTTCCGCCCAGGACGGCGGATTAACTAACAAGTCTATCCTGTCTTCTTTCACAGGTTGCTGGGGATTCTGTCAACAGTTACCAGAGGGTCTCCTAGATGGTCATTTTCTCTTATAATCCTACAGCCTGAAAGAATTGGCTGTTCTAAATTTCCCATTAGAAACGAGATTTAACTGAATATTTGCCCAGAAGGTCGGAATAACTAACATGTCAGTCCTGTCTTTTTTCACAAGAGCTTCTGGCTGAGCAGAGATATAACCCATCTTGTACTGACTCCAAACAGAAGTATTGAAAGAAAATAATATTTTTTTAAATCTTTAAAATAGAGACAATATGTGATTGTTGATAGATTATACTGTATCAATTGAATTGACGTTTACTAAAGCCGTATTGAAAAACAGAAACAGAGCAATCAGATTAAGTCGACAGTACACAGAAAAAAAATAGCGCGACTGGCACTACCGCAAAATAGATGGTTGCGATGAGGATGGGTGCGATGAGGTTACCCGCATTTTAAATTGTGAAAAAAAATCGATTATAATGGATTTTGGTGGTCTAAAAAATTGTAAATATAATCGATTCCCATGTTACATTCAGATAACAAAATTGGACTAAAAATAGATTTGAATCCATTTTTTTCTCGCAAAACCAAAGTGCATTATAATTCAATTGAAATACTTTATAATGGTTTTTATAATAAGGGGGAAATCACAATAAAATGGATTTTTTCTACACTTTATTTTCGTTTCGTGCGTCCACATAATTTTTTGTTTCGCGGAAATTTTGCAAAGCGATTATACGGCCTAACGCATTTGTAAATCTAAGCTCCTGAGCAACCCACCTCAGCACCCCCACCTGAGCAACATCCCCCCCCCCCCTGAGCACCCCCAGTTTGCTGTAATTGCAAACGTAAAGGGGGCATTGGAAGGAGGATATTCCACCTCCAACTTTAAACCCCCTTCCCCCAATATTTCTAATATTTTAACAAAGTTGTTGAGAGGAACAAAATACAGTTTTTGAGTAACAAAAAGTAACAAAGTATCAAGGTTGAACAGAAAAAAAATTAAACTAAACCAGAGGTAACCAACGAAAGGAACTTTAGTTTAAAACGTAGAAATAACTTTATGTGTGTTGAAATTTGCATCTCAGTAATTTTGAAAAAAAATCGATTATAATTTAAATTCCTTGTCAGTGTCCATCGATGGTTGTAAAAAAAATTTTGTTGCCTCGAAAAACAGTAATTTTAAAAACCATTTTCATTTCTCTATAACTGATTTGATTTCATATTTATGGACACTGACAAGGAAACTCAATTAAAATCGACTTTCATTCATGGATCTTCAATGCGGGTAGCATTGTTTTCCATTCAGCTTTTTACTTTTCCGTTCATTACTTCAGACATCTAACCTAAATGTTAACCTTAAGTCAAGTCTTATGATTCACCTCGATCATGATCAACTTTGTAGATCTTTAATATAAAATTGTTGAAGTTCCTTACAAACAGAATTGCTTTCAAAGTGTAAAATATTGCTGCAAAGGCAGTAATGTCTTGAATTTTATGTTCACCTATCATAACTCATTTGACCTTAAGCTTTAAAATGTAAATTCCATCAGACAAAATAACTTTTTGACGTAAGCGGAACGGTCCTAACCATAATCTTGCAAAACTGGTACTTTATAAAAACTGCTAGATGTACACATACGAAAAAGATCCAGAGAACTGTCTCTTTTTGTAGTTGCAGTATGTGTCGAAATGCCTACTCTGATGTATCTTGTTTTGTCTTTCGAACGCATAATACTTGCTAAATTCGATTTTAAAAGTGCGAAAAAACAGCACTGGTGATTAGTGCAGGGCAGAAACTTTCAGTTATTCGGATATGGACTATTTTTTTTCTTTACGAGGCCAAACTGTGTACTGGATGGGCGCACAGATTTGCGTCTCTTTTTTACTGGACTCCAGAGACAAGTCTTTAAACATGTTAAAACTTTGTCGGATTGATCAAAAAATTGTAGGAACAAAAGAAGAACAAAGGTAGCGTCCTTGTTGCGGAATCCGCTTATATTTCCCAAAATACACAAATTGGCCTCGTAATTTTTCAGTCGCTATGAAATCAGTCGGTATAAAAAAAGTATGTAAATTGAGTGATTTATAACATTTTAAAAAGCTCACCATCAAGAGTTTATGGAAATTCATAGTTTAGAAAACAAAAATTTTAGTGATGCAAAAGCAATTAACAATGCAGATTCTTGCGGTGGAGTTTTTACTTCTGCAACATTAAACAAATACAGCTTTTAAAAAGAGTAGTGGTATACGTCATAAATGTACATTATCAAGAGAAAGTCCACGGGACATGAAAAAAGAGAAAAAAATTTCCATTTTCAAATTATTTTCAGCCTTTTTGACTATTGTTACAGCAGAAAGTTATACCAAGCTGATAGTAACCCACGCACAAATGTACATAACATAATATGTATCAGGGTTCCAAAAATTGTTTGATTGATGTTTCATCTAAACAGCAGGCACTCCTTCAGTTTTGTCAGTTTCAATTTCTAATGTTGAAATTCGACTGTTGTGCTAGTAGTCAAGATTTTCAGAAGACAAATCGTTTGAATATCTATGTATATTATGGGGTTTTGTAACCAGGCTTCAAAAAACAAGAGATTATCAAATGTATCTTTTGAAAAATTTTAATTACATTGTAACTACAGATTGTTTTTAACAATCAGTCATTAGTCTTCAAAACCTGTTAATTGTTCTGACCTTCTTTCCTTCGGTTCTTCCCCTTGTTTATCTCGTTACTTTTAGTTGAGTTTGTATCTGGATCAGATAGCTGCAATTGCGCAGCAGCGAGAGTGATATTGTGGCTTTCCTTCCATTCTTGCAAAAACGTCTCGTCTTCTGGTTGACTAGGAATCAGAGCCAGATTGTTTAGCAAGCTGGGTGCCGTACTTGTCACGAATGTGTCACATAATCCTCTTATTTCTTGAGCTCTTTTCTTCGTAGTTTTATAATGCACATCCCTGTCATCATTCGAAGATTTTGCCTCTTTTGTACGGTCGACCATTTTTTCCACGTTCAACTCGCACATGCCAATGAACTCAAAGATTGATTGTAAACGTTCCAGAAGATGATCCAATATGAATTCCAGCTCATGGCTCATAGACACAGCTCTCTTAACAGCTTCCATGTCCTTCTTTAGTTTTACAGCTTCTTCATCTTTTGTCTGCGATTGCTTTTTGTGGTTCTCCGCGACCGAACCGGCGATTACATAACCAATTCCAAATGTTGGAACAGAAAGAACCTTTCCCCAGAAATTCGCATTTTGTTCACTTCTCTGCGCCTTTTTGGCTTCGTCATGCAAAACCTTTATGCTTTCCTGGCAATTTTCTTCAATTTTTTTGAATTCATCGGTCGCAGATTCAGCTTCAGCATGATTTGCCTTCAAGTTTCGGATAATTTCGTTGTGAATATTTTTTAAATTTTCACATGAAGATTTTGCATCTTTCAATTTTTTCCTAGTATCTGAAAGAGATAATATCCATTTCTCAGGTTCGATATCGGCGAAATTATCCATCAGTGAGGAAATCTTCTTGAAGACGTCAATTGTCAGAGGGAGAACATGTTTTGAGTAAATAAGACACTGTTTTCTGGTGTTCTCTCTGATTTTCAAGTAGGTTTCCTTGGTTTCAATGTCCAGTCCACTCAAATTATCCACGTTTTTGTAGTTTGTCCGTACCGATTGGCTAAAACAAGAAGTTATGGTTAAAAATCCGTGTTATCCGCTCTATTGATGAGTTCGTTAGAAAGTGTTTATGAGTGAAACTGAAATTGAAGCATTGTTCTAACATTAAAACATTGTTCTTTGCTCATTGTGAAAATTTTTATGTTTCGAAATGATGATGATAAAAGCGAAATCTGACAATTCACTATTGTGATCAGCCTATTAGAAAAATATGCAATATTTGATTTGAAATGTGTTTTCTCCAAATTTCAGTCTATTCATGATATTCGACGAAGATGATGTATATCAACTTTTCAGTTAAAAGTTGTACTCACATGAACAAAACCACATCAAAACCTGCTTCTACGAGAGTCTCAAGTATTTTTCCTCCATCGTCCTCCTTTTCGGCCGAAGCTCCACTCATGTTAAAACAACACGTTCTTTTTTGTTGAAGTCACTCAGTAAAAATCTCTCTGCTGCAGTTTAATAATAAAACAAAAATTATTGTATGAGATAATATGATACGTAAAACTTGAAGGTATAATTCACAAATGGTTTTCACTTACTTTGAGTTGAATTGAATGCTACTTTGTCAGACAACACACAGTACGGACAACTTTTTTGCAGCAAGAAACTCTGCTGCATTTTAATAAAAAAAAATAAAAAATTTTGTTTGAGATTATATGATACGATACGTATACACGAAGGCATAATTCACAATTGGTTTTCATTACTTTGAGTTGAGTTGAATGCTACTTTGTCAGAGAACACACAGTACGGACGACTATTTTTGCGGCAAGAAATTTCCAATTAACAGCCAAGCAAAGACTGTTTTTAAAATAGCGCATGCGCCAATTATCACATTCAAGTAATTTTAGAAATTTCACAGCCAAAAGTTGTCCTGCAACTTTGTTTGATACAAAAAAAATACATAAAGCCTCGCCATCAAAAACATTCTCCAATTGAAAAGGTATATGTAGTTTTTGACAACCTGTAAAACTTTAATTTTGTCAAAAGTTTGCAACCGCGCGCTATCATAGTAAAGTTTTGATGCTTCTATAATTAGATACAATAGTTAACGTTATCTCAGGGTTGAAGTCGAAAAAAAATGATGCTTTTTGCTAAGGAAACGTTCGAAAAAAATTGAAAATTTATCACCATACACTTATTATATCAAATCAAATCTTGTACACAATTAAATTTTTTTCTAGAGAATATGAAATCTTGATCATATGAATTTTTTTTTGCAGATTGGGTTTTCAATCGCGTTTGAATAAACTGCACAAAGAGCTGATGAGCTGTTCCAAAAAAACTATCGGGTTTGAGGCGATGAAAAAGTATATGTTTTTACCAGCGCAAAGTGGATAGAACTTTTTAATGAATCTAGACTATGCTGAGTAAATCTTGTTATCTTGAAACTGCAAAGCAAAAAGATGAAGATAATTTCAAAATTAGTTGGTCCAAGAACTTCATTTTTCGTCACGCAGCTAAACTTTCCTCACTGTATATAACGTCCCTTAATAACTTCCCCAATCTCTGGAGCAGCGATTTCAAACAAACCTGCTCCAATTCTTTCCGCAGCTGAAATTATATAATTTTTAATAAAGGGGATTGCAGTTCTCCCAAGAGTTTGTGCGAGAGCTCCAAAACCTCTTCCACGTTGTCTTGCATGTCCTCGAAAAATAGGGAAATCTGATGAGTTTTGAGCAAGCATTTAGTTTGAAGTTTAAATCAAAATGATTACTCGGGTTTTTCCTACGGACACAAAAAGATTTTTTCGCCGGTACTATCTCTTAGTTCTATCTTGATAGTATGTAATGATTTTTTCAACCGTTTTTTAAACTGTAAAATTGTAAAGGATTGATAATTCATGTACTGTCTTGTAGAAGTTATATCTCCACTCTTCACTTTGGAGATATATGGAAAACAACGAAATAAGGGAGTTTTTGTATCACCGATTATGTTATATTCTGTAATATCACTAGATACTATCAAAGAATGTATTCTTTTAATGTCGTAAGATGACTGAGGATAATGTGGACCTTTTCCTTTCTTTATAAACCCTGTTTTTATTTGCTCTAAATCAAAACCAAAAATGTGACTCAAGTCAGAACTATTATACTAGTGCAATTACGATGTAACACACTAATTTAGCGCTCTTTTCCGTTTAAAAAAATATCGATCCGGTCCACTTACTGTGTTTTTCACTGAAAAACGATATAAGAGTATTGATATAGGGTATATAAGTAATAATACTAGTAATACTATACCCCTCCGGGTTTGTTCAATATCCGAATTTTGGTGCTTAACTCGGAAATTTGCAGTTCGGTGAAGGGTCACTACAGTGCGGCACTGTTGAGCCCCCCACAGATAACTATCTTATTTTTTGTACCAAAAGGGATACAAAACATGTTAACGATACCCAACAGTCGACTGTTGTTGTCGTTGAGCCCCTATTGTCACTCCTTGTACTGCTTGCCGGATCAATCTTCTTCTCTAATCCCGAGACCCCTCCGGATTGAGCGCAAATCAGCAGACCCTTCTGGATTGAGCGCAAATTAGCATTAACGTGCTTAAATACTCAAATAACCATACAGTACAAGCCTCACAAACGGGCTACAAAAATATTCGTAAAGATCCTGATTGATATAGATGCCTGTAAAAACAATATATCTATCAATAACAAACGGAAGGGTCGGATCACATCTTGTCTGGGGGGATGATTTCTACTGATTTCATACTTTTTTACTGTTTTTGGTTTTTTTTCGGTTATTTTTTTTTGTTTTTTGTTTTTCTTGAGTATTATACTAATTTTTGTTTGGTTTCTTATATATCTTTAAGTGTTTTTGGTCACGAACCACTCAGGAAATGACGGGACCGCGAATCCCCCACCCTTCCTGGTTCGAGAATTTTCGGTCTTAACTATGTTAAAAAGCTATTCACGGGAATCCGGAAGGCTTCCGCGTTCCGAACTACCCTTCCGCCCCGGTGCTCCTTAACGGTTCTGCCGGTCATGATGTTAAAAAAGAATAACACCCAGTAGCGCCATAACAACATCTATGTAACATTCGCCCGGAAGTTTATATCGACGGAAAATAAAGCTAACCTATAAAACGACTGGCCAGCGTCTAAACAGAGCTCTACATGCTTTTCACCGTCTCTACCAAAGCCAGTTCTTTTGGTGGTCTATCTAACATCGGGTCGACAAAAACGTTACTGATCTCCGGCTTCGACCAGAACGCTCAAATTAACTTACTTTCATGCAAAATTAGTGAGCTCATGGCTGGGTCTCAGTATCCCCAGACCACGAGGTCACTCCTAAAAACAGGGCTATTACTATTTGTTATAATATTATTGTTTTTGTTCAGTAGATAAAAATCATCATCCCCATCGAAGATGGATCAACCCTTTCCTTAACTCCTAGCTTCTCATCGTCGGAAAATGAATTCAGATATTAAATAAATTCAATACAGGACATAATCGGGAAGCTAAAAATTTGTATAAAATGGTTTAAGTTCAAGTCCCGAGACCCCTCCGGATTCCTGAATCCAGGGAAATAACACACTTATTTCCTCTCCGGAAGGCTGATTTCTACCCTTCACCGTTAGCGTGAATGGCCTTGCAACGATTGTAGCGACACAACCGTTGCAACTCGGAGCGGTCTCTGCTAACACTCTGTCGTATTTTCGTTTTTTTCTCAATTATCGTAGTTGTTTTCGCAACTTCTGTCGTTGTTCTGTTTTTATCTTGGATTTGTTCCAAATCGGCCATTTTTGACGTTTCTCAGAAGTGTGATGTCACAATTCGAATTTTTAAAATTTAAGAATTTCCGAATCCTTCAGCCATCACGATTTGTCTAATCGTCTGAATAACACTGTTAATCCTCTCAAACTGCCAATTCGGAAGGCTCGCTGCTAGCCCTTTGTAACTGTCTTTTTGTCAATTCTGTTCGAATGTCACACTCCTACATCAGATCCACGATGGGGAGGTGACGCGCAAGCTGTGCTTTGTTTGCTGACGGAAGGTGGCGGATGAGTTTCATCCAAAGTGCGCCTTCTGTCGGCAGGATTTGATGCCTCTTAGTCGCTTTTTGCACTCGTAACTTTTGCTTTTGAACTTGTTTATTGTTAAATTAACTAAGCCTGGTCCAATGTGAACAACCACTTCTTTCCACTTATGACCACTAACTTGAATCTTCCCAATGTAAACCACATAAGAACATTCCAACCATTCCTCCAAATCGATCATGTTTTATTTTGCTTAGTTCCTCTGACACGGGCGAGGATGAGGAGGCAAACGCGGATGAGGATGAGGAGGCAGACAAGCAGATATAGGATGAGACCATGGTGCCCTTCCCGGACTCGGAGTCGGAACCGGAGCAGCTGAGCGGATCCGACTTTGATCTGCTCTCGAGCAGTGACTAGGAGAAGAGCAATGCCTCGGAAGTTCTCGCGTTTTCATACATCCGGGGGCGCGGTCGCAGTCGCGGGCACGCTGCGGTCTGGGATGGCCAAACTATCGACTCCTCCAGCGATGACGATAACACTCTGCCCTATAATTGGGCAAGCGGGCGGAGGCGCAGTCGCGGACGAGCAGCGCCGCCAGTCGCCAGGACTGCCAATCTGCCAGGACGGGCTCAAGGCCGAGGACGCAGAACCGCTGGGTCATCCCAGCCTGGGGTCGGACCCTCCTCGTAAAGGTTAAAAATCTCAAAATATATTACTAAAATGGTTTATGACAAAATTATTAGAAATTGTTTATAGTGAAAACTGTTTTTTAGTGGCGTTGGGGGCACTAGGCGATCAATTGTGTACCAGACTTATGTCGGCTAAAGTAGACTAATTGACTAATATCTCCTAGAATATCAATAAGTATCAAAATCTCAAACTTCAGAATATGACCACCAAATTTTAGAAAAAAAATATATGACTAGTTTATTAGAAACTGTTTTTTAGTAAAAACTGATTTCTGGGGGCGTTGGGGGCACTAGGGGACTAATTGTGTACCAGATTTATGACGGCAAATGTAGACTAACTAACTAACATCTACTAGAATATCAATAAGTATCAAAGTTTCAAATCTCAGAATTTGATCACTGGGTGTACCAAATATTGAAATATTTTATGACTAGTTTCTTAGAAACTGATTTTTAGTGGCATTGGGAGCACTAAGAGACTAGTTCTGTACCAGACTAACGCCGATTACTACAGACTAATTGATTAATGCCCACTAGAACATCAATAAGTTTCAAAATATCAAATCTCAGAATATGACCACCAAATTTTAGAATAAAAAACTTATGACTAGTTTATTAGAAATTGTTTTTTAGTAAAAACTGATTTCTAGTGGCGTTTGGGGCACTAGGCGACCAATTTCGTACCATACCAATGCCGACTAATGCAGACGATTTTACTAATTCCTTCCAGATTATCAAGTTTCAAAACCTCAAATCTCAAAATATGACCACTGGTGTCTCATATAATTAAATTTTTTATGACTAGCTTATTGGAAAACTGTTTTTTTTTTGTGTAA